AAATTCAAAAATATTATTGAAAATTTTAGAACATCTAAACCCCTACCAGATATCATTCTTATCAATGCTAGTGAAGAAATCAAGTCTGTCAACGTTGATCCCCTACAATTATTAGGTTACTTCCTGGTTCACACCATCTTGTCATTCCAAAAAACAGCTCATATTAACCGTCAATTATTATATCGCCATATTGCATCCATATCAGTTGAAGATTTTACTGATTTGCAGACTGTCATTTCATCATGTGCTATCCAATCTTCTTGAAAAACATGCTCCATTAAAGAAACGCCTCAGAATTGTTTTCAAAATTATGTGCACTACCCACAAAGCTCTGAATGGCCTTTAACTATCTTATATATATGACATTCTTCACTTAAAATCAACTCCTCGCACTTCGCCCTTCAGTCAAATGCGTTTTCATACTCCAGTCTAGCAACATCTGGTGGGCGAGCAATTTCTCGAGCAGCTCCATGCTTATGGAACACTTTACCAATAAAATTGCGTCAAAAACCTACAATAGATAACTTTAGAAAGAATCTTAAAACTCTTGTATTTACCAGATCCTTTGACAACAACTAATTGTACAGCACATCTGAACAATACGTCGTATTGGATACTGACGCTATATAAATTTCATTGATTGATAAATAAATCTTACTAAATAATACTACAGGTCTCTCGCCATTCTGTACCAAAAAAATGTATACATTACGGCATTCATACAGTGTTGTATAAATGTAAAATAATATCGAATGCACTAAAACATATGTTTCAGTAAAAAAATTTTTTACAGTAGTTGTTGCGTCGCTGAAACCGTGCATCTACCACATTTATTTTTTTCTGTGAGATGACTATGGCAGTCTGTACCAGACTGTGGAAAAATTACAATGCGTCACTCGCAGCCATTAACACCCATTCACAAACCCATTAACACGTAACCCAGCCAAGTTCGACCGCTTGTCGAGTTGAAAACTGGCGGAATTCGACTGTATTCACCCCACTGACTGTATACGATTGTTCTGTTCAACTGTTAAGCTAGGATTTATTACCGTTATTATCATTATATTGTCACATGATTTGTTCCACCTTATTTGTAATGTTATATACCAATTCGTATATACTGAGCATCAACCCCGATCGAAGGTCATGTATTTTAGGAAGTCACCAATTCGTGTGTAGGTACAGCTTCTGCAATTGTGCCCCATGTGAAGTAACGATTCAACCGCCATGTTGTCTTGTCCACCAGTGACTACTTGGTAACGTTATTTTTTAATCCAAACGTGCGTGGCAGTATTACATAAATGTTATTACAAACAAAGTTCTTAGTACATAGCTTCAGTGTACCATATATCACACATATAAAACTCACACAATTTTTTTGGCAGTTTAGTCACCACACAAATAGGATTTTAAGCCACAATATGAAAAGTACTAGAACGGTATTTGATCTAATAATATAGAGATATTGCCAAAATACATTTCGTTATTCGGAATGACTTGATAAAGCAATAAGAAAAAGATACAGAGCAGATGACATAATGTACAAAAAAATGTACATGACAAACGCTGTCTGGTATACGGTGGTGAGACAAAAACAAAAACAAGAT